TATCACCGGTTTTCAGTCCTGAAAGATTAACAACCTGCATATGCCGGGCATTACAGTAGTCAGAAGGGCGTTTCAGTAGTCTGAAGGACATTACAGTGGTCAGAAGGGCGTTTCAGTAGTCTGAAGGACATTACAGTAGTCTGAAGGACATTACAGTAGTCTGAAGGACATTACAGTGGTCAGAAGGGCGTTTCAGTAGTCAGAAGGACGTTACAGTAGTCTGAAGGACGTTACAGTAGTCTGAAGGACATTACAGTGGTCAGAAGGACATTACAGTAGTCAGAAGGGCGTTATAGTAGTGACAGTGGTCAGAAGGGTGTTACAGTAGTTACAGTAGTCAGAAGGGCGTTACAGTAGTTACAGTAGTCAGAAGGGCGTTACTGTAGTTACAGTAGTCAGAAGGGCGTTACAGTAGTGACAGTGGTCAGAAGGGTGTTACAGTAGTTACAGTAGTCATAAGGGCGTTACTGTAGAGACAGTAATCAGAAGGGCGTTACAGTAGTCGGAAGGGCGTTACTGTAGTCGGAAGGACTTTGTGAGCTGATATTGTTCTGAACAAAATTTGTCTAGGGTGATCAGGAGTTCTGTATCTCATGTTGTAATGTGACTAAGACTGAACAGTCAAACCCCAATAATCCGTTTTCTAAAAACAGAGAAATTAATGGAATGCAATTCTATATATAACTAAAACCTGAATTTTGGAAAGTAGAAACTAGAGCAGTAACTTTTGTTAATATAATTGCTAATGTTACATAATTTCATCTCGTCATGTAAAGTCACCTGATCCCTTGTTGTAATGTGTCTCGTCCTACCTGTTGTGGGTCCTTGCTCCGTGGTCCTTTCTTGTCTCTCTGGACTCAGTTGGACCCTCCTGTCATTTCCGTCCATGTCTCCGGACACAGTGATCCTGTCATCATGCTCCAGCTGGTATCGGTACAGACTGTATCCGTCTCCGCTGTTGATGCTGCATTGTCGCAGCAAAGCGGCTGGCTCGCAGAAGGACGATCCTCTGGAATGACTGCGGACGAGCTCGGCCCGGTCGACGCCCGCCAGCTTCTCCAGCGCGTTCATCATTCGGCTGGAGAACTCCTCCAGCTGAGCCAGACGGAGGTCCACTGTCTGCAGGGATGCCTTCATCGAGTGCTCCCTCTCATTCACCTCCTCCAGACGCATGAACATGTTCTCCACCCTGAATAAAAGGAAACACAGAGGAGAAAGCAGGGAAACAGTTTGATTTGGTTCCACAGTAAATATGATATTTTTGTTTGTTCTGCTGCAGTGAGTACAACTTCATTTCACTGTTACCTGCAGACACTTCACCAGATTCCATTTTCTGTTTGTGTGTATGTAAGTATTGCAATTAGGGTGACCATATTTAGAAATTACTTTATTTGGTAAATGTCTGCCTACAGATTGTTTATAGTCAACCTATTTGTATTTCAACAGTTTATTGAGATTGTACTGATTTACAAATAGAACCGTTTTCTGTCTTGTTAAGGTTTGATTTGGGCTAATATTAGTGTATTCATTATAGGGCTGACCCCAATAGTCGAAGATTCGATGCTTCGATGGCCTGATTCAACTGTCAATTTCACAGTCGAAGCTTCGCAGCGAAACAAGGATCACGCCATTTTGGCTATATGGGGGTGCTCAGTGTCTGATTTTACATAGAACTACCAGTTTTCTCCCAATAAGTTAATATATAGCCTATTACAATATACATTTCAACGTTTAATGCTGTAAATAAATATGTAAAAAGAATAAAACTTTCAATAAATGATTTTGAAGTGCGTGAATAAATCCAAAATTTTAACCCTAACCCTGGGTTGTCAGTGCGCATGTGTAAGCGTAGCGTGTATGTGTACAGTGGCAGAAGAGGAACACTTGCTGAAGAGACCGAGCCCCAGCTTCACTGGTGTTGTGCCGAGTTGTTCGCATCTTGCGGGACTTTCGGATAATTTATCAGCGTTGATGAACCACATATTGAATATTTTATCGCTTTTAAATAGCCGGCTACTTGAAATAGACCCGTGGGGAACCGTGACGTGCATGCATTTGTCGGCAGCAGTAATGCAGGTAAAAGTCTGCACAAGACCGTTGTGCCTCAGTTTAGCTGGATTTACAGTGTAAGTTGAATGAAAAGACACTGCAGCTTCTCAAGATTAAAGCGGAGCTACCGTGTGTAACCCCCCCACCCCACTCGCAATCGCCGCGCACAAAAACACACATGATACCACTATCAGTCGACTATAGGAAGGACTTCACTTTTCTGATTCGACCTTGTTTATCCTTAGTCGGGGACAGCCCTAATTCATTATAATTTCAGATAACAGTATTCTAACTTACCCATAGTATAATATTATATCCACTTACAATAGACTTATTATGTTACGTTTGTTTTCTCATTCATTATAAACCTTATAACCTTATAACCTTATACCTTGACAAAATGAACAACTGGAAATCATGAAAGGATGATTTAAAAATGTGAAGTGACATTTAAAAAACACAAAAAGGAAAAATTTAAGTTTGAATATCTCCTTTGTTCTGCTTAATGGTATATCGTATATGTCATGTCTGTCTTCACTGTCTCAGAATAAGCAGAGTCTTGACATGTCAATACGAGGAGTGTACATCATTCTATTAATGTAAGTAATATAAAGACAAATATGAGTTTATAAAAACAGCACATTTGTCTTCCTGACCTCTCAGATGTGACTCTGATTCTCTCGTTGTTGGACGACTGTTTTTCGTCGTCTTTCTCTCTGAAGTATTCCTCCACACACTGCTCCTCAAACTCATGCAGACTCTTCAGTTCATCTGCACTCAGCACCAGCTCTGAGGACACAAACATTATTTTATCTCAGAGGAAACAAACGCCGTTTCGTCTGCAGTTCTGAATCTTTGTCCTGCTGTCAGAGGGACTTCAGAGTGAAGCTTACGGAGTCGTCTCTCCCGGTCGTCGCGATCTCCCTCCGGCCTCCGTCTGCAGCGGCAGCACAGCCTCTTCAGGACGATGTAGATGTGGGGGAAGACGATGAGGGGGGGAGGCAGGATGGGACGGTCGTGGAAGGTCATGATCAGCTGATACCGCTGGAACTTCCACACCTGGTTAGAGATGGACTTCACCTCGAAGAAGGTGTTGCTGAGAGGAGAAAGAGGAGGCAGGTTTGATTTTCTGTCTCTCCTCAGAATTCCTCCAGGACTGGGTTTAAGAAGCTGTTTGTAAATGTCTCTAAAGTTTGTGGGTGAAGGATTTTTGTGTAAGCCCAGCTCAGTTCTCTAGTTCAGTATAGTCTCAAGGTGTTTGTCATAAGGGAAATATTGTACCTTTTTCCACTACATTTGTCTGGAGTTACTGGGTCATTTTAGGGCTGGAACTAACAATTAATTTTACTCCCTCTGACCCATTTCATATCAAACGAATGCATGAGAATCCACAGAAGCAGAGATACAAGGATTTAACCTGACACTGAAACTACCATGACTTTTATTTTGGAATCTTTTCCTGCACGTGTTTCCTCTCACAGCTCCTCTGCAGCACTGTGTTTAAACAGTAACTGATCTGAGGTCTGTCTGTGTGCTGTATATTAAAGCATCAGCAGCAGGATCAGGTGACCAACACTGACTTGAAGACGGCGATGAGCAGGTTGACCAGCAGGATGTTGGCGACCAGCAGGTAACAGGCCATGATGGCCGGAGTGAGCCAGGCTCCAGGGATACAGGGAGGAAGCTTCTTCCCGTCTTCATCGTACATGTTGTCTCCACACGGTGCTGAGATTCAAACAACACACTCATTAATGTCCATACAGAGACATGAATGGACTGCAGTAGTTTTATATTGATTGTTTTAAAGCACTCCGTTCCTTGTAGCGAGTAAAAGTATCAAAATAAATGTGGAAATACTCAAGTAAAGAACAAGTAACCTGCTCTGGATTCAAATAAGCTTCAGATAGGAAAAGATGTAGTTTGTTAAGTGGAGCTGCTTCAGATTTCAACTGGACCAACTCGGGTGAGCTTTTATTGTGAAACAGTCACAGGAAACACTATGTAAAACAAAATACCTGTCTGCATCAACCACTGGCAATAGATAGTGAGCTGTAAAAGTTCACAGCAAATTCTGTCTGAGATACTTACGATTGATTTCCATCGCATAAACTGTCCGCCAACCGCCGAAGGTAAAAAATTAGAAGAGAAACAACAACATGAACTTCAGGCTAGAAACACTCAGGAACATGCTCAAGAAATGTGAAAAAAGTGTGAACATGTACAAACATTTCAAAATGTAAAAACTTTAGTACAACATGGAAAGGTTTTAATTTCTAAACATTTTTCAGCAAAATAACAAATTTGGTACTAATAATCAGTCAAGTAGATTTAAATATACTAACTGCACAGCAGGTCAGCTGAACATGACGTAAATATATGAAGAATAATGTTTTCAGCCATAACATTATGACCACTGACAGGTGAATGACCCTGATTACCTGGTCACCATGGCACCTGTCAGTGGGTGGGATCTATCAGGCACCAGGTGAACATCGTGTCCTCACAGTTTACGTTAGAAGCAGAAAAAGTGGTCCAAGTTGTGACAGGGTCATGGACGGCCAAGCCTCACTGATGCCTGTAGGGAGCGAAGGCTGGCCCGTGTGATCCGATCCAACAGACGAGCTGCTCTAGGTCAGACTGCTGAAGAAGCTGATGCTGGTTCTGATAGAAAGGAGTCATAACACACAGGGCATCGCAGTTTGTTGTGTACGGGGCTGCGTAGCCTCAGACTAGTCAGGAGGCCCTTGCTGACCCCTGTCCACTGCAGAAAGCGTCTACAATGGGCATGTGATGTCATGATTAAGCTTTGCCACCTCCCCCTTCCTAATGTTTCCTCTGTTTTCCGCTCCCTGCTGTCTCTGTCAGTTTGGTATGTGATGTCCTGTCTGTGTGTGTTGGGCGCGTCTGGCTCCGGCTCCTGGCTTGTCACCACCTGCAGCGGCTTATCAAGTAATCAGCCCATGCAGTGAAATACTTTGGTACATCTTCCACTCCTTGCCAGTTTGTCAGTTTTACCTCCCGTGGTGTGATTGCTGGGTGGCACGGTAGTGCAGTAGTTAGCGCTGTTGCCTCCCAGCAACAATGTCATGGGTTCAAGCCCCGGTTGCCCCGGCCTTTCTGTGTGGAGTTTGCATGTTCTGCATGGGTTCTCTGATCCTTTTTTCTGAACTCATTACTACACATAAACACAATCCCAGGTTTCTGTTTAAGACTGTGGATCAGCTGGTAAACCCAACCCCTCCTTGTGCCTCAGCTGGAAGTAATGATAACTGTGAATTGCTTTTATCTTATTTTACCAATAAGGTGGTGTCAATCAGAGCCTCTATTACCCCCGCGGCCTCTTACTCAGAGGTTCCTCACCAGCAACAAGAGAGTTTTAACCAGTTTTATCCCATCGACTTGTCTGAGCTTTTAAAAACAGTATCACAAATGAGAGTGTCCTGCTTAAAGTCACCAATGACCTTTTAATGTCTGCTGATGAAGGCATGTGCTCAGTCCTGGTACTCCTGGACCTTAGCGCTGCTTTTGACACCATTGATCACAACATCATGTTAGACAGACTGAGGCACTGGGTGGGGATCTCTGGTACTGCCCTAGAATGGTTTTCATCCTACCTGTCAAATAGGAAGTTTTGCATGTCTGTAAACAACTATGTCTCTTCGTTCTGTCCAGTTAAATATGGTGTGCCTCAGGGGTCGGTCTTAGGACCCATTTTGTTTTCCTTGTATCTGCTTCCCCTTTGACATATTATCCATAAACATGGTATTTCTTTTCATATTTATGCTGATGACACACAAATATACTTGCCCATCAGATCCACAGACCCTGGAATGCTGAGTTCACTAAACAACTGCCTTTGTGAAGTTAAAAAATGGATGTCAAATCATTTCCTCCAGCTGAACTCAGACAAAACAGAAATCCTGGTCATCGGGTCCCAGCAGATGGCAAAACCAATACTGCCATCTGCTGGTTCCCTAGTAAATCACATTAAGCCTGTTGCAAAGAACCTTGGTGTTTGGTTTGATAGTAATTTAAATTTCGAGCAGCACACCGCAAAGCTTGTTCAATCATGTTTTTATCAACAATCATTTTACATGCCTTCATCTCATCACGCCTGGATTATTGCAACAGCCTTTTCACCTGTTTAACCCAAAAATCTACTTATCAACTTCAGACTGTCCAGAACTCAGCTGACAGGCTTTTAACCAGAACAAAGAAATATGACCACATTACTCCTATTTTAGCTTCATTACACTGGCTCCCAGTATGTTTTAGAATTGACTTTAAAATTCTATTGATCACTTTTAAAGCTCTTCATGGCCTCTCGCCTTGTTATATTTCTGACCTTTTAGTCCCATACGCACCAGCACGTACCTTGAGATCCTCGGGCAGAGGTCTGTTGTCTGTTCCAGAGTCTCGACTGAAAACTAAAGGGGACAGAGCGTTTGCTGTCAGGGCCCCGAGGCTCTGGAACAGCCTGCCCGAGGAAATCAGGTCGGCTGAGTCAGTGAACTCTTTTAAGTCCCTTCTTAAAACATACTTTTATAGGAGAGCTTTTCCCGATTTTATTTGACTTTATTTATCCCTTTTATTTATATTTTAATTATTTTATATTCATCTTAAAAACGTGTATTTTAATCTTTTCAATGTTTTCTTGCTTTTATTTTGTATTGTTTTTTGTTTGTTTGTTTGTTTTATTTTTTTTTACATTATTGTCTTTTGGGTATTATTGTCTTTACACTTGTTAAAGCACTTTGTAACTTGTTTTGAAAAGTTTGAAAAAAAAATAAAGATTATTATTATCATTATCCTAAATTGTCCTTAGGTGTGAGCGTGAGTGATTGTCTCTGTTTGTCAGCTTCTAATGTCCTGTTTCTTTGTCTACTCCAGTTGTTCCCTGTGTGTGAAGACGTTGCCTGCCTGCCTGCCAGTCAGTCTGCCCTGAACTGAGCTTTAGGATGCCATTGTCAAATCCCCACAGAATCTGGAGTTCTGCCTGGTTTTCTCCGTGCACATTGAAAATAAACCTGCCTGAGTTTTTTACATCTGCCTTGTGTCCGCTCTTGAATCCCTTTAGTGAAAACCTGGTAACACATGGTACCAGGATGCACTATAGTAAGAAAATAAGCCGGCAGTGTGATGCTTTGGACCATGTTCTGCTGTGGAACCTTGGGTCCTGCCATTCATGTGGACGTTACTTTGACACGTAGCACCTACCTAGGCATTGCTGCAGACCATGGAAACAGTGTTCCCTGATGACAGCGGCCTCTTTCAGCAGGATAATGCGCCACAAAGCAAAAACACTTCAGGAACGGTTTGAGGAACAACAACGAGTTCAAGGTGCTGACTTGGCTCTCAGTCTAGTCCAGCATCTGTGGGATGTGCTGAACCAACAAATCCCTACCTTGCATACAGGACTAAATGGATCTGCTGCTTGGTGCCAAAAGCCACAGCACACCTTCAGAGGTCTAGTGGAGTCCAGGTGTCAACAGGTCAAGGCTGTTTTGGTGGCAATAAGGGAGACCTGCACAATATTAGTCAGGTGGTCAAAATGTTATGGCTGATCGGGTTATTTAATGATATGTAAAGAAAAATATCTCGCAGAGGGTGAGGGCAGGGAGTCAGGGCAGAGGGTGAGGGCAGAGGTGAAGGACAGGGTGAGGGCAGAGGGTGAGGTCAGAGGGGAGGACAGGGGTGAGGACTAACAGGCGGCTAACTGGAGTCTTACTATGAACTCTGAGGGTGAGGGCAGAGGTGAAGGAAAGGGTGAGGGCAGAGGGTGAGGGCAGAGGCGAAGGACAGGAAGGACAGGGTGAGGTCAGAGGGTGAGGTCAGAGGGGAGGGCAGAGGTGAAGGACAGGGTGAGGGCAGAGGGTGAGGACAGAGGCGAAGGACAGGAAGGACAGGGTGAGGGCAGAGGGTGAGGACAGAGGCGAAGGACAGGAAGGACAGGGTGAGGGCAGAGGGTGAGGTCAGAGAGGACGGCAGAGGGGAGGACAGAAGGGAAGGACAGGGTGAAGGTGAGGGCAGACGGGAGGACAGGGGTGAGGACTAACAGGCGGCTGACTGGAGTCTTACTATGAACTCTGAGGGTGAGGGCAGAGGTGAAGGACAGGGTGAGGGCAGAGGCGAAGGACAGGAAGGACAGGGTGAGGGCAGAGGGTGAGGACAGAGGCGAAGGACAGGAAGGACAGGGTGAGGGCAGAGGGTGAGGTCAGAGAGGACGGCAGAGGGGAGGACAGAAGGGAAGGACAGGGTGAGGGTGAGGGCAGACGGGAGGACAGGGGTGAGGACTAACAGGCGGCTGACTGGAGTCTTACTATGAACTCTAGTCTTACGGTCTATGGAGTCTGCAAACACCTCTCCGTAGATCATCCAGTACGGCATGTAGAAGATGTTTCGGGCCAGACGCCATGTTGGCTCCTCGTCCGGGTGGAGGATAGCCTGCCGAGCTACGCCGAAACTCATCAACACCACCAGCATGATGACCACGAAGTACAGCATGTCGATCATCTGGACGACCATCAGACCAAAGGCGTTTTATATCACTGAGATTTATGAAACTTAAAAACAGTTTGTTTGTCTTTACAACAAATTTTAAATGTTTCACAGAGAAAAACAAACAGAAATAAATATTACAAAGTCCAGTGAGAAGAAACACGGAGCTGAAAACAAAAAATAAATTCTAAAAGTTGAACAGTTACTTTTATCAGTTATTATTTTGCTTTGCTCTGTAACACTGTGTTAGCCCAATGTGAACCTGAAGAGTAAAGTTAACTGTTTCATTAGTATCGATGTCATCTTGTGAAGGCGTACCATTTTTCCGATCATCATGACGTAGGGTCCCAGGTACTTGTTGACTCCGAAGATGTCGAGGACTCGGATGTACCAGAAGATGATGTCGACGCAGTAGATGACGCGTCCGTAGCCCATGGACGGCTCGCTCTGCAGCCGCAGCAGCAAACCCAGCAGGAAGACGGAGATGGCCGCCAGGTCGGTGATGTTCCAGTAATCCTCCAACCAAACGTTGATCTTCTGCTTCAGTTTCCCCGGCTCCGACATCAAGATCTGGCAGCAGGGGTACATTAAAATGAGTATTACCTCTACACAACAGTTTCGCTTCACCCTGTTTCACCACCCCACTATTCACAATGTTCATTTTTATCATGCAGCCCGCCCCACCGGCCTACATTCAACAATACAACATCAGTAATATCAAGGTGAAAGGTCACTAAGCGATGCAGGTGAACAGGTGAAGGGCAGAAAGTCTGATCACTTTAATAACTACAGACCCGTTGGCGTCAGTTTGTAATGCCCTGGGGGAAACCCTGTAGCGTCACTTTTGAACTCTAAAGGCAGGTGTAGGATGTTTAACACAAAAGTAAGTAAGGGGGTGGTTGGGTGGACAGGAAAAACTGGACTTTCACACAGGAGGCCGGTGTTCATTTCTCGTGTGGAACAAAAACTCAGAATTTAATGTTTTAATTTAAGTCACGTGGGTTACATAGATTAGCTAGGTTGTTGTTATTTTAACCTAAACCACAATCTTTTCCTGAACGTTTCACAACGTTAACCACTAGTTTTATTTTGAAAGTCTAACCGGATATTTATTCTTGCTAACTTGACCGTGGAGCCCTACATGTACAAAAACAAAGCTAAAGTGTACCCAGGGCGTCCATATGAGAAGCGTTGGGATGAGAACGTGTTGGGAGCAGAGCCCCAGGTGTGTTTCAGAGTTTACCTGTCGGACCTTCTCCAGTCCCAGAGTGATGATGTAAGAGATAACGATCCACTCCTGTAAAGACGGCCATCGCTCCATCTTCACCAGGATGATGTAGTTATACAACATCAGGTAAACCAGGTAGGAGATCTGTCGCACACACATTTAATTCTCAGGTCACATGTGTCCCTTTGACACGGTCAGTATCTTTATTATCATCTTCATTAAAAATCTATTGGTTGTGACCTTTTAGAAAGACAAGTAACAAAGCAGTTAAACTGAAGAAGCTAAATCTCATCATCAACGAACTTTAAGCGTTAAACCATCATGAGCTTCTATTTGTGAAAGAAACTTTAGATCAATATGCGGTTGATATAAATTATACACAGTATTTATATATTCTAAAACTTGCCGTGTTGAACCAAAACTTGGTGAAGGGAGTGTTGTAGAACTCGTAGATCTTCCTCCCGATGGGAGTCCTCCGGTGTTTCTTCTGCTCTTCTTCTTCGTCTCCTTTCTTCGACGTAGCGTCAATGTTGGAGACGGCGTCCTGAAACAAACTCTGAGTCACTCAGACTGCTCTGAACCAATGACCACTCTCTGCTCTGGCTGTTTGGTACCTTGCTGGATTTGTTGTCGTCTTTAGATCTGCTGTCGTCGTTCTCTTTGGACAAATGATTCGAGGCTTCATCTGCCAGACGAAAGTCCAGGAGGAGAATCGCAGGAGGAAAAACGATCCCTAAAATCACCTGGAGACAGGATGAGGACATAAGTATTATTATTATTACTGGGTCAGTGGGTCAGCCATCGTCACTTCACTGGCTTCAAAGCTTCACCGCTCGACAGACAAGTTAGAACATGAGGAAAACCTGTGATGGCTTCTCAGACCTGGTCCCCAGCTTGTCTAAACGTGCATCAGTGTAGCTGCTGCCAGGTTATTTATTTATATATTTGGAAAAGCCAGTTTAACGTACTTGTTCTTACCAGGAAAAGCTTAACGGCGAGCCCTGAAGATTCACAGCAGTTCCCATTGAGTCAAACATCTGTTTCCACGATAACACAGCAGTTTATTCGTGTCAGATTTCTCAGCTGTGAGGCCAGCTGGACATTTTACTCCTCTATCTGTGTCAGCACTCGTGTGACCTTAATGGTAATATTTGTCAGCGGTGGGATGACAGGGTTTTCAGATGATCTGGAGTTTTGTTTTTGTTGCCAACTTGAAAAAAAAGAGCTTTTTGGGGGGGAGTGAAAGTAATATAGTGACGTAACGAGTTACTTTTATCACCCACTAATAAGTAAAGTAATGTTATTAAAGTATTGTTAAGGAGTAATTTATTACAATTTCAGAGTAACTTGCCCAACACTGTCTGTGAGTAAAATGTCTGGCGTGTTTAACTTCTCAGATGGTAAGACGATTTGTAAACTGACTTCTGTACAAATTAAGCTTAAGACTGACTGAACACAGCACCTGCTCCAGGTGAGACATTCAGATCACACCAGGTGGAGGCGGGGTCAGCGCTCGTCACCTGAACGTTTGTTTGTCTGATTTCACTGTTTTCAAAGATGCATTTAAATGTTTTCTCTCAGGTCCTGCAGGCTCCGGTCCAGATCCCACACAGACCGGAGACCTGGCAGTCCCTCAGGGAGTGCTGCTGGTACCTTGAGGCTGTTGCTCTTGCCCATCCTCAGGCAGCCCATCCACATGTCCGTTAGCAGCATCTGGCTGCAGGTGTGTGCGATGAAGTCTCGGTGTTTGGCTGCGACAGCCAGCTTCAGACAGGTGGAGTTGCTCCAGTTCTTCAGCTCGTAGGTCAGCAGCTTCATGGCCACCTGCTCGTCGTGTTTGTACGACTGATCCAGCAGCTCGTAGGCCAGCTGACCAAACTCCCTGCACACAAAACACACTCAGTCTACAGACACACCAGCGCCCCCCTCAGGCCATGACGGGCTCTGCACACCAGGGAACTTCAGGTGTTGTGACACTTTTGGTCTAAGCCCCCTGGGCTCTGGTTCTGTGGGACTCACTTGGAGTTGTTCTCCAGGTCCTGATAGATATCGTCCACCAGCTCGCTCTGGGACGACTCGTGGGCCATGGCCTTGTAGAGTTTACAGGCCACCAGAGCCTTGGCCATGGCCTCCTCGCCCCGCTGCCACAGGAACAGTGCCATTTTCTGGCGCTTCATCAGCACGGCCCACACCATCAGCTCGTGGAACGGGTACTGAAACCTGCTGACTTCGGGGTCATCCACGTCGATGTCCACCTCCTCCTCCTTCTTGTTCTTCTTTCCTTTACCCTTCGGACGGGGCTCGTCGTCCTGCAGGAACCACAGGTGCGAGTCCACGTGTCAGAGACTGAGACCACCATCAGCTCCATAATACAGTTTGTAAAATTAAAAATAAGAACAAACCTCCATCCCAAGAAGTTTCAGAGCTTTCGGCTGCAAAAGAAAAGACAACATGTTTGTTAGTCCAGAAACATACTGATGTTGGAGCCACAGGATATTTATGTTCCTCGTGTTTCAGGGAGCAGGACAGAGTCTAGTTAAAGGAGAAACTTCACACTGTGTTAAGAAAAGACATATTTGTTTATATTTGTGGGACGAGGATCAATAGCTTTCTGCTAATTCTTCCATGTGAAAATCTGACGGTGAGGCCTGAATGTAAGGAAGAGAATGTGCCTCCGTGCTGCCACCTGGTGGATCATCTCCAAACAGTTTGATTAATATTCACGTCAGAATGAAGCGCAGCAGAAATGTGTGAAGCAGACGTTGCTGCAGTGTCGACTCTCTTAGGGGGTTTGCTCACTCGTTTCAGTCCGTACAGGTTGTTGTAAAGCGCCCTGAAGCTCTTCCTGGTGTATTTGCAGCGGTAAGCTCCGCCCATCAGGAACTCCAGCACCAGGCCGATATCGATCAGAGTGATCTGGTAGTCTGGGGGGAGATTCCCCTGAAATACAAATGTTTTACACATCTTTTAAAGTAACGAAACAGTTAAACTAAAGAAGATAAATCTCATCATCAACGAACTTTGAGTGTTAACCCATCGTGAGCTTCTATTTGTGAAAGAAACTTTAGATCAATATGCGGTTGATATAAATTATACACAGTATTTATATATTCTAAAACGTGCCGTGTCGAACCAGAACTTGGTGAAGGGAGTGTTGTAGAACTCGTAGATCTTGAACTCCAAGTCTCCACCTGCTGGCATGTAAAGCCGTCTCCTACCAGCGCTGTTCCAAAGACTACTATTCCTGTCATCATCAGGCATAGACCAGTAAACCAAAATGTGCACATCCCACACAGCAATATAAGTAATCTCTTAAGGATTAGGACAACTGCACCAACTCCAGCACCCAGAACAAACTCATTTAAAATGGCTCTCTTCAATGTGAGATCACTTTCAAGTAAGACTTTCATCTTAAATGATTTTATCTTGTCTGCAAATCTAGATTTTACGTTTTTAACTGATTCATGGTTGCAGATGAATGACTATAGCCAGCTAGCTGAACTGTGTCCGCCTCAATATGATTGTTTTAGTCAACCGAGGGTCAGTGGTCGTGGTGGTGGGCTAGTGAGCGTGTATAGGAAAAATTTAAAATGTCATCAAGTACGCTGTGATGAATTTAACTCCTTTGAAGTTCTCACTCTTAAAGTTGGAGGGCTGCAACCTATCATATTTGTTATAATTTATCGCCCCCCAAAACCGCCTGGAGGATTTTTATCAGAACTTCCTGAATTTTTATCTACTCTGATTTTAAATTATGACAGAATTGTTCTTTGTGGCGATTTTAATATTCATGTTGATGACACCAACAATGTTAATGCAACTGACTTTTAAATATGGCCACTTCTTTTAACTTCAAACAACATGTCAAAAGGCAAACACATAACCGTGGTCATACACTGGACTTGGTTTTTACCCTGGGTGTCAGCATTTCCTCTGTGGAATTAATGGACATGACCATATCTGACCACAGATGTATTGTTTTTAGCTGCGATTCTCCTGTTACTCATGCCGCCTCACCAAGCTCCGTGTGTTCTCGCTTCTTTAATGAACAAAGTGTTTCTTTCAGAGCCAAAGCCAACACTTGTCTTTTTCCAACACTAACAATCTGGTCGATCACTTCAATCATATCTGCTTGTTGTCACTAAATATTACTGCTCCTCTAAAGGTTAGGCCTACGTCTAAAGCTAGTAAGCAACCCTGGATAAATGACAGCATTCACAGCCTAAAAAGGGAATGCAGGAAAGCAGAGGGCAGATGGAAAAAATCCAGTATCCTCAGTCTGAAGGATTTATTAATTAACTACAATAACTTGGTTAAGGATGCGAGAACACATTATTTTTGTGAACTCATTACTACACATAAACACAATAAGACTGTGGATCAGCTGGTAAACCCAACCCCTCCTTGTGCCTCAGCTGGAAGTAATGATGACTGTGAATTGTTTTTATCTTATTTTACCAATAAGGTGGTGTCAATCAGAGCCTCTATTACCCCCGCGGCCTCTTACTCAGAGGTTCCTCACCAGCAACAAGAGAGTTTTAACCAGTTTTATCCCATCGACTTGTCTGAGCTTTTAAAAACAGTATCACAAATGAGAGTGTCCTCCAGCCCACTTGATTTTTTAAATTTTTACTGAAAGTAATAGATTCTGTTGGCCCCCATTTGATCTCTGTTGCAAGCTCCATATCTACTGGTTGTGTCCCTGATTATTTTAAAACGGCTTGCGTGAATCCACTTTTAAAGAAACCTGGTTTAGATCCCTCCCTCCCACATAATTTTAGACCAATTTCAAAACTGCCTTTTATAGCAAAGAATTTAGAAAGAATTGTGTCCAAACAGCTGCTCACTGTACTGGAAAATAACAAAATATTTTAAATGTTTCAGTCTGGTTTCAGGAAATACCACAGCACTGAGACTGCCCTGCTTAAAGTCACCAATGACCTTTTAATGTCTGCTGATGAAGGCATGTGCTCAGTCCTGGTACTCCTGGACCTTAGCGCTGCTTTTGACACCATTGATCACAACATCATGTTAGACAGACTGAGGCACTGGGTGGGGATCTCTGGTACTGCCCTAGAATGGTTTTCATCCTACCTGTCAAATAGGAAGTTTTGTGTGTCTGTAAACAACTATGTCTCCTCATTCTGTCCAGTTAAATATGGTGTGCCTCAGGGGTCGGTCTTAGGACCCATTTTGTTTTCCTTGTATCTGCTTCCCCTTTGACATATTATCCATAAACATGGCATTTCTTTTCATATTTATGCTGATGACACACAAATATACTTGCCCGTCAGATCCACAGACCCTGGAATGCTGAATTCACTTAACAACTGCCTTTGTGAAGTTAAAAAATGGATGTCAAATCATTTCCTCCAGCTGAACTCAGACAAAACAGAAATCCTGGTCATCGGGTCCCAGCAGATGGCAAAACAAATACTGCCATCTGCTGGTTCCCTAGTAAATCACATTAAGCCTGTTGCAAAGAACCTTGGTGTTTGGTTTGATAGTAATCTAAAGCTTAAAGGACTTTTAAGGACACCGAGACCATTTTACACGCCTTCATCTCATCACGCCTGGATTATTGCAACAGCCTTTTCACCTGTTTAACCCAAAAATCTACTGATCGACTCCAGACTGTCCAGAACTCAGCTGCCAGGCTTTTAACCAGAACAAAGAAATATGACCACATTACTCCTATTTTAGCTTCATTACACTGGCTCCCAGTATGTTTTAGAATTGACTTTAAAATTCTATTGATCAGTTTTAAAGCTCTTCATTGTCATGCTCTGCCGGTTGGCCATCTTTTGTGTTGCACTTTTGTGTTTAGTTAGTGTTATTTTGGTCTGTTGGGTTTTGGGGGTCTGTCTTGTCTTTCGTCTAGTGTTCAGTCACCCTTGTCATGTCTGTTACCCCAGTGATCCCTCTGCATGTCTGTCTCTGTTTTCCCCTGCTCTCTCTCTCTCTCTCTCTCTCTCCCTATCTGTGTCTCGTTAGCCTCATGTCTTTCACCTGTGTTGCTCCCGCCCTGCTCGTTAGTCCCTGTGTATATATACCTGGTGTTTCTGTCTTGTCTTTGTCCGGTCATTGTTCATGTTACCCCCCAGTCTGTCGTGTGTGTACTCTCTGCCTGCCTGTAACCAGCCTTGCTTGTCTTGTCTTGTCTTGTCTTGTCTCCCTGTACTTTTGGATTTTGGATTTCTGTTATTCAGCCACTCACCTGTAAGTGTGCTCGCTTAATTAAAACCCTTCGTTGAACTATACCTGCTCCGCTCTGTGTCCTGTGTTTGGGTCCTCCAACCTGCCTCCACACCACGACTGTGACATTCATGGCCTTTCGCCTTGTTATATTTCTGACCTTTTAGTCCCATACGCACCAGCACGTACCTTGAGATCCTCAGGCAGAGGTCTGTTGTCTGTTCCAGAGTCTTGACTGAAAACTAAAGGGGACAGAGCGTTTGCTGTCAGGGCCCCGAGGCTCTGGAACAGCCTGCCCGAGGAAATCAGGTCGGCTGAGTCAGTGAACTCTTTTAAGTCCCTTGTTAAAACATACTTTTATAGGAGAGCCTTTCCCGATCTTATTTGACTTTATTTTATCTTTTATTTTATTCTATTTTAATTATTTTATATTTATCTTAAACGTGTATTTTAGTCTTTTCAATGTTTTCATGCTTTTATCTTGTATTGTTTTTGTATTATTGTCTTTTGGGTATTATTGTCTTTACACTTGTTAAAGAACTTTGTAACTTGTTTTTGAAAAGTGCTCTACAAATAAAGATTATTATTATTATTATTACTGATCAGCTCTCACGTTTAGTTATGTACTCCTCACCTGCCCCCCGCCCCATCCCCCACCTGTTTAAAAACACCAAACTGACCTTTTTCACGTCTCTGACCACAAAGTGCAGCGTGTTGGCCGGGCCCAACTTCTACAAACAAAACAGGAAACAAACAGGAAACTGATGAAAAGAAAAAAAACTGCAAATAATACCACAACATTAATAATGTTTGTTCAGTTCCATATTTAGCAGGATAATGTCAGGTTTACGTTCCACCTGATCACTTCTGTTTATCGTGTTTCTTCTGCTGATGATCAGCACGAGATATTGAATTATGACCTGGTCCTATAACCTGTCCTCAGCGAATTACATAAGTCAGTAACACACTTTAACTTAAAACTAAATAACCCGGCACTGACTCAGTTTCAAACGGGACTTGAATGCCGGGTTCCTGGGTTTGACCCAACCATCACCTTAGGTGGACTTTCTCGCTCTTTATATAACGTCACTTGACTTCCTCATGGGCTCACACGGCCTCTAGATGTCGCTGCCACAATAAACGTAAATGTGGGTGGTAATAAGCTGCGTGAGGACGGTCTGACTTAATGGGGTTATTCATTATGTGTTATTGATTATTGATATTAACATGACATTAAAGGCAGCGTGACGTGCAGCTGTTAGCAGGTGATTACAGACACGTCTTATCTAATTGGACTTGTTTGACTCGAACGTTATAAAAACTGCAGAGAGCTTCACTTCCATCTGACAGTACCTGACGCGCTGCTGAAAGAGCTTTTTATGAGCGAAGCAGATAAAGATTAGAGACGCAACACAAGAGGAAGTGGATCACTGATGGACGTTAAGCTGCAGATAAACGTGACAATATATAGACATCAGAGCAGAAAGCTTTTGTTCAGAACGAGAAGAGAAACATTGGTATGCCACACCTCCCAGTCCCCACACACCAGACAACATTTATCTAACATAGAAATGAAATAATAGGGACCTAATCTCAGGCAAGAGAAAGTGCGTCCTCGCTGCTGCTGTGCAGTGTTTAAATAAATAAAAATAAAAATAAAGTTTGTTCTGCTGCAGAGGAGTGCAGTGTCTCACCGTGTTGTACAGCTCCTCCAGACGAGGGATAGTCAGGAAGTGATGGATGTTGACGCCGTTCTCAATCAGAAGCTTGACAAAGTCCACCCTGTCCAACACCAGAGCGTCCATCATAGCCTGTTCCAGAGAGTTCACCTGTCGCAGCGTTTGATTAAGGTTAGCTACTGAATAAGGCTTTGGTTACCATTAGCTAATGGTTCAGTTGAACAGTGAAAACTGTGTCTCAGGTTTGCTAACATGTTCATTTCTTTGCCAGTCCAACAGGTTGTCAGTAAGTTACAAGCTCCAAAAGAAAGAGCAAGAAAGAAGGTGTTTCTGCGTCTTTACTACTGATAATGTCTAATAACTAAAATGTATGATTGTAATGATGTTCAGTAACATGCCATTTATCCATCTAGCTGCAAGGTGCTGAACTTTACTGAAAGTGATCGCCGGAACATGAGTAGCAGAAGCTAGCTGTTCATCATAACAAAGTCTGACCACTGAAAAGAAATGGACATTACAATGATGAAAGCATCCTGTTCACTGTGTTCTGTCTACTACCATGTGATTTTGTGGTTTTCGTTTATCCTGTTAGTGGTTATCATGGATCATAAGGTCTGTTGTATTCCAATCTCTTACCCAGTTGAGCAGCTCCAGTTTCCGGGGGTCGGTCTCCTCGGGGGGTTCAGGTTTGGTTTTGCCTCCTTTTCCTTTCTTCCCCCTTGCTTTCCCTTTCCCTGCTCCTCCTCCTCCTGGTGCTGTTGCTCGCTGAGCTGCCGGACTTTTAGGCCTGTCGGTGGGTGAAGCGCTCACCGGCTGCAGAAACACCATCAAACAGTCGGTGGCAGAAATAACTAGACTGTTCCAACAGTTCAAAGACTTTTGCGATCGAGTCTCTTTCTTGGCTTCTTATTTCCTTCTACTCCTACTTTTATTTATTATTTCATCATCTGTTCTTGCAACTAGGAGGAGAGTTAGGAAGGAGAAGTCGAGGCAGACTGACTGACTTCTGCAGAAACTTTTAGGGGTCTATGATCATAGTGTTTAGGGTTCAAACATGGTGGCAGCAAATCCAGCCTCCATGTTGGCCCCAGCAGGGTCAAGACAGAGACAGATGGACCTGTATCCATCTATGAACTCACAGGCCAGTGGAGTCCATACACAAAGATCTGACTGCGAGCGATGTCCACTCGGTTCCAGGCCAGAGCCAGACTCAGTTGATCGGACGCTGACGCATTTGTACCTGTAATCACATGAACAAAGTGTCATCAATCGCTGAAGGAGTTCAACCGTATACCAACAGGAAGCGTTATGAGAGCGATGTTCAGTTACCTTTGAGCAGAGCTGTGAGGATGGACATCTCAATGTCCTGCTGTCCCTCTGAGCCCATCCTGAACACTGTGATCTGCACACACAAATATACTGTATATTACGATATAATCCTCTGAAAATACACGAGCAGCAGGTTCAACTGTGAAACACAGAGAAGGAAGAAAGAATGAGGAAAGTAACTCCATGTTGTTTCTGACAGCTGACCTGTTTTATCGTCGTATCAAGATCAAGATAACCTTTATTGTCTCCTGGGGGAGATTTGTCTTTAGGCTACAGTAACAAACGATAACAACACATGGACTTCGCAGTTGCAGACATGATACAGTCTGTTCTATACATTTACACTGCATGAGTATATGAGGCTCTATCAGTAACTGATGACTGAAGGAACCCAGCAGGAACCCAGCAGGAGGAACTCCCATCAACATGTGGACAAACAGAACAGAGGTGGAAGAGAAGACAGGACTAAGTGATGGCACTCCCTGCACGGTGAGAGCACAGAGCATGAACAACACTGCAGACTGCTTGGTTCTGGATCCAGCGCTGGTTTGTTCCTCATGAGAGAAACATCTGAACCTGCAGCAGCAACAAACCAAACCAGTGAACAGATGTGATTTTATTAAAATGCATGGGACTGTCTGCTGCTGCAGAGGATTGTGGGATTAAATAAATGGACACAGAACAATCTCCATTAAGTGCTGCAGTTTTGGGTCAAAGGTAAAACCTTTGTCATCATGTTAATATCTCACAGGAACGCACGGAACACATGGGAAGAACACATGAAAAGAACACGAAAAGAACACACGTGAAGAACACGCAGAAGGACACTGTCCTGGCCTCTACGAGCAGTGCTCGGGACAAATGTGTCCTACAATGAATGTTCATAAAACTAAAGTCAATCTGGTCTGAGCTTGATGAATTTGATCTATGAAGGCGATATTTGAAGGGAAGGAGGTTTGAGACTTAGCGGCTGGTGGTGTTTATGAACCCATGCAGCATTATTTCAAGCTGTACGCAACACAGGCAGAACTCATCGGAGGTCAATCCTTAGGGAAGACGTTCTGGGGAAGCACACAGGGCTTCTTTCCATTAGTAAAGATGGGTGCTGATACCTGTGTCCCGCATGAAAGCAGACTCTGTTTGCTTCTGGCTTCAGAGGCCTAGGTTCGATTTGAAATCAAATCATTAAAGAAGGTGAGAACACTTGAAAATGAGTTTTCACTCCCAAGTCGTGAAATTACCAAACACTGACGTATAAAAATAAGAAGTGTGAAACCTTTGATGCTGCTGCAGTGTTCACTGAATGTTTCAATACATGTTTGAATGCTGCTCTGTTAGTATGGAGAATCAGCAGGAGTTAAAAACAAACCACCAAAAGTGAAACATAAAAGGCCAAAGTCAGAAGGTCACTGATTTCAAGACACCGTATCAGTCAACGTTCTGTCCACGTAGGCCGTCTGGAATCATCGCCAGACTGGAGTGAATGGACAGATGCTGTGGCCAGATGAAGGTGAAGAGACAAAACTAACGTGCAGCTGGTTGGAGCTGAGTTCCAGCTCTGAGTTCAGGTTCTGTTCAGACTCTCAGCTCTGAGTTCGGGTTCTGTTCAGACTCTCAGCTCTGAGTTCAGGTTCTGTTTAGACTTCCAGCTCTGAGTTTAGGTTTGACAAAGATCCAGGTCTGGGTTCATGCAGAATCAGTCTGTAGTTGTTGGGATTTGGTTTTGTGTTCATGTTGTTCCTATATTACATCTGTTTTCATGGTTTGGGGTTTTGTGTTTCTTCTGTGCCACCTTGTTTTTTTTAGGTTTAGTTGCATGGTTAGTCTTACCTGTTCTGTCTCTTTCCTTTTCTCATCTTAGTTCTTAGTTTATGTCTTAGTGCTTAG